TCTTCCTCTAAGCTGTGAGTCTATGTAACTAATAAACTGCCATCAATCTCACCTGTCCAATGTCAGATGTCAAGTTCGGCCACTCCCATAACCCTAGGGTGGGAATCCCTTCTTTACTAATGGGATAAAGAGGAAGTGATTAAAACAAAAACTTAAAAGACACTGATATCCCATGTTGGTGAGGCTACAGAAAAACAGGAACTCACATAGCGTTTTTGAGAGTATAAACTGGTACAACCCTTTGGGAGAACAATTGGGTAGTATATAAAAAGGTGTACACCCTTGGGGACCCAACAATTCCATTTCTAGGAAGAAATACCATCACAAGCAATATACGTACAAAAATAGTTGCTGATGTACTGACTGTAAAAGTAAAAAAAATTTTGGATGTTGCCAACAAAATTGGGATCATCTAAATTTAGTTCAGCAGCCTAATTCTAAATATACTCTTTTTCACCATGAAAAAAGTAAAAAAAATTTTACAACCTCTAAATACATCAATCTATTAATAGATGATTGATTAAATGAATTACAACACATCAAATGCAATGAACAATAGAAAGCTATTTAAAAGAATGACATGGATGTGTCTATGTATTGACACAGAGAGATGATTATATTAAGCGAAAAAAGCAGTGGCAGAATATGTATACCTACCATACTCTAAATGTTCTATTATTTTTGAAAAAATACAAATGTATATGCATAGAAAAGTCAGGAAATACACATGAAGCTTAGGGGCTGGCCAGTTGGTTAGAGCGCAGCCTTAGAACATCAAAGTCACAGGTTCATATACCTGCACTGGCCAGCCACCAGAAAAAAAAATTTAACAGTGGCTCCCTTGAGATGGTGGGATTGCAGGACATATGAAAGAGGACAGGACTCTAGACTCTGATGCAATTTTTGCACTTTTTACAATAAGCATTTAAAAAGTTAAAAAGGAAAGAAAGTTTGTTTGGAAGAATAAACAGGTTAAGGTAAGGTCTGAAAAATTAGAAATTAGCAGATATTAAATAATTGTTCAAAAGTCCTGCTCCAATGGAGTTTGCATTCTATTGGGAGAAGATAATAAGATAAATAAGTAAAATATATAGCGGATTAGAAAGTCGCAAGTACTAAGGAGAACTGGGATTGCTGGGAAATTCCAGTTCTGGATAAGGTGGAAGGCCATGCTCAGGAGTTTAACATTTAAGGAGGGGAGGGAGCAAGTCAAGGATATTATCTGGAGGTTTCTAGGATGCAATCATTTTACCTACAATAAGATGAGCTCTTCTTTTTCAATATATTCTTGTTTTGTTACACTAACTAAAGTTTCCAAATAGAAAGACTACTTAAACATTATTTTACAGTCTTCAATAAGATCGATAACTACAAAAGAAATTAACATTGTTAAAGATCTGCCCTTTTGTTTGTTTATTTGGCAGCTGGCCGGTATGAGGAACTGAACCTTTAACCAAGGCTGCGCTGCAACCAACTAAGCTAACTGGCCAGCCCAATCTGTCCCTTTAAATGGCACTAGCCCCAGACTGTTTTACATCTGAGTTCTACCCAATCTTCAGAGAGACTAATTCTAAGTCATAGGAAAAAACAGACTCCCTAATTCATTTTATAAAGGTAGACTGATCTTAATGCCAAAATCTGCAAATTATATCAAAGAAGAAAATTGTGTGATTAACAAGCTGTCCTCCCTACTAGTTTATAGGATCCATGTGGACAGGATCTTTTTTTAAAATTTCATATCCCCATCTTAATATTCTGGTAAGCAGAATAATGCCCCACCCACCAAGATGTCTAAGTCCTCATCCCCAGAACCTGTGAATATGTTAGGTTACATGGCAAAGGGAAAATAAGATAGAATTAAGTAGATAGAATTAAGTCTTTTGATCAGCTGACCTTAAAATGGGGAGATTAGCCTGGATTATCTAGATGGGCCCAAAGGAATCACCAGGGTCCTTAAAAATGAAAGAGGAAGGCAGAAAAGAGAGGGAAATTTTACTTGGGAAAAACAGTCGGATGTGACATAATGGGCTTTGCAGGTGGGGAAGAGAGGGGAGAGGCTCAAGCCAAAAACATGGGCTCCAGAAGCTCAAAAAGAAACTCCAGGGCCGGCCCGTGGCTCACTCGGGAGAGTGTGGTGCTAATAACACCAAGGCCCCAGGTTCG